AGGTGATGGGAGTTGTAGTCCAACAACATCTGGGGGGACCCACAGGTTGAGAAAGGCTCTCTTAGAGGATGTTGGACAACCCTGAGTAGCACAGGGCATTGCGAAAAGTGTCTTTCTTGGGGATCGAAATGACAGGACTGGGGTATGTTCCTGAATGTAACCTTTTTTGAAGTTCCCCAAGGCTTTATATGCCAATAAAGGTAAAGGGACCCCTGACCATTAGGTCCAGTCGTGGCCGACTCTGGGGTTGCGGTGCTCATCTTGCTTTATTGGTCAAGGGAGCCAGCGTACAGCTTCCGGGTCATGTGGCCAGCATGACTAAGCCTCTTCTGGCGAACCAGAGCAGTGCACAGAAATGCCATTTACCTTCCCGCCGGAACGGTACCTATTTATCTACTTGCACTTTGACGGGCTTTCGAACTGCTAGGTTGGCAGGAGCAGGGACCGAGCAACAGGAGCTCACCCTGTCGCAGGGATTCGAACCGCCGACCTTCTGATCAGCAAGTCCTAGGCTCTGTGGTTTAACCCACAGCGCCCCCTGCGTCCCTTATATGCCAATAGCAAGGCCATAAACTTGGCTCACATGGAAAGCTAGTACCTGCAACCTCTTCAACAGCCTCACTGCTCCATTCTGCACTGGCTATAGCTTCCAGAGCAACTGTAAGTAAAAACCCTACATAGAATGCATTGCCGTAACCCGGTCTGTAATTTACTAAACGCCTGGACTGTCATAGATTTATTCCCAGGGTATGGTCAGTGTTAAAGGCGTTAGGGATGTAGACCCAACTCAGAAAAGGAGGCTACTATGCCATTCCCCCTCCCCACAGAAAAATCCTGGAGCTCAGTCCATCAGAGAGCACATCCAGGTGCCTGAATTTCCAAAGGCAGCTGAGAAGGTCTGCCTTTGCTTGAGCTGCGGTTCAATTCCCCCTGCACAATTCGTGAATCAAGTCAAGGAGCCTGAGACTCTTGTTTCCAGGGAGCCTAGCTACTTGTTAGACTTCAAGAAGAGAAAGGGCAGCTGCTCTGATTTTCCCAGCCCATGCTTCAGCCGTAAGAAATCTAGACAGGTGCCCTTTGCTTAGCGCTTTGCGGGGGGTTTTGGGGGGAGGTGGAATACATGTTGGCACGATGGAAGGGACAGGGGGAAAAAGTATCTGTGGACATGTGGCCTTTCTAGAGCCAGAGGGCTACATATCAGTATTATGAGAGTCATGGAACATGCAGGTGACCTGTCGTTCCTACTAACATCTGGGAAATGGCTGGGTATTACGTTTCTGAAGTGAGGCTCTCCATTTGTTTCTCTGTGCCCCAGCATGCCCCAGAAGATCTTTTGCATAAGGGACTGTGGCGATCACACAGGGTCCCCAGACGTTTGACGGTCTATTGACCCTGTGCCACCACTGTGATTGCCTCCTCGCTGCCACCACCCTGTTTCTCACGGGGACACACGGAGTCCAGACAGTTGTTAACAATAACAAATAATCAAGTTTATTTTTAAATGCAGGAACAAGCTTATGGTTTCAGTTAGTTTTTCTTGACAGTTTCTTAATCTTAGTTCCTAACAACTTCAAACTGATTATCCCAACTATCTATCTGACTCCACCTAACAGTTCCTCTCACTCTCTCACATTAAAACTAGACCAACCCACAGACTTATCCTCCCTCTTCCTTCTCCAACTCCCAACTGACTCACAAACAACTCCAACTCTAACTCTTAACTCCTCCCCTTGGGTTCCCACTGGCCAATCACTTCACACTCATTTAACCCTTTCCTTATGACCCACCTAGATTGGCTAATTAGGGAGTTAATTTCATGCAAAATACCATTCCCGTTTCCGAAGCAACGTGCATGGATGTCTGCGTATTTCTGAGAGAGTGTGTATTAAGCCACTGAGTGCCAATTAGGAGAGCGCTGTTGCGCTCAGGTTTTGCTCACATAAATCTGGCTGGCCACTGTGAGAACAGGATGCTGGTCCAGATGGGCCTTAGGCCTGCTCCAGCGGGACTCTTCGTATGTTCTTGTGAGAAAGAGTTCTGTGTGACTCAGAAACCTGCACATTGCATTGGATCTATTTGTTGATTATAATAACACTATTATGTTACATCCCCATGGGGTGTATGGGGTGTTAAGGGAGGGGCAGTATCTCTATCGAAGCGATGATTCTTTTTTTCAAAAAAAAATATTTTGCTTTTCAACATTTATCACAAAAGTAACACAATACACAACAAAGAAAAAAGAAACACATCACACATTAATAAACTAAACATACAAGAAAAAAAGAAAAGAAAAAAGATTATCTCTTTCATCACATTAATAACTGACTTCCTCGAAGCCCCTCTAACTGAATTTCATTATATCACCTTTATAACAGTTCTCCAAGTTCATATTTCTAATAATATTAGCTCCTTTCATTTACTAACTTCTTCTCTTTTATTAATATTCTAATCCTTAATATTTACTACCACATATCCTTATTCTACACCTAAGCCTATTTGTTACTTCCAAGAATTTTCTATTTATCTAAGCGATGATTCTTCAACATCAACTTCGTTGGACTGGTCATGTTGTGCAAATGCCTGATGATCGTCTTCGAAAGCAACTGCTCTATTCCGAACTTAAAAATGGAAAGCGTAATGCTGGTGGTCAACAAAATAAGTTTAAAGACTCTCTCAAGGCAAATCTTTTAAAATGTAGTATAAACACCAACAACAACTGGGAAACACTGGCCTGTGAGTGTTTCAATTGGAGAACAGCCTTTACCAAAGGCGTCATGGGCTTTGAAGATGCTTGAACTCAGGACGCAAGGGAGAAATGTGCTAAGAGGAAGACACGTTTGACAAACCCTCACCAAGTTCAATTCAGAGCTGGCCTCCACAGTCACTTACAGACTCACTGTTAAAACTGTGTTTATGGAAGATAATCTTACTCAGCTACAAGTGATCGCCAAAGAAGAAAGAAGATGAGTACGTATGGTGGGGGGCACGTTGTGCTCCTTATGGGGCAGTTTGTCCATCTTTTGTCTTCATCCTTCACTCAGTTCCCATCTGTGGCTCCTAGAAGCTGTCAGCATGTGACAGCGGCCACACCCCGAGAATGGATTTGACTGGCCAGCTACATCAGGTAAGGGTAGCCAATGGGTCTCGAACCTTCAGTGAGTTCCCCTGGATGCGAAGACAGATTGTAGAGAGACCAAGAGTGGGTCCAATGGTCAAGAAGGCAGTTTCTGCATGTGCTGCAGAGGGAAGTGAAGGGCAGATGGGGCCCATCTACCTGGGAAGGAAGCCCATCTAAGAGAAGGAAAACTCTGGTCCCAAAGCTCTGCTGCCTTGCAGGACTTCTTCAGGAGAAGAAAAGGCTAAAGGGTAAACCCTACACAAATCTGGAGTGGGATCCCTAAGGCGGTTGGATGACGTCTTGTATGCCTGCTTCCGACAACTCCAGCAGCCAAGTTGGTGCCGGACATATTGCTCTGCATTCCTTTGGGCAACAGTTAGTCTGAGAGCGGAGTCTTGTCATCTGGGCATGCCGGAACCTCCATACACACTGCCCAGGTTTGCACCCCAGTTTGACTTCACTGCCGGAGGCACACTCCATTGTTTCTTGAGACAGATGGATGCCAACAAAAGCAACCCCATGAATTTTGTTCAGCCTTAGGGGAAAATTAGAGATGGCAAGCGAGATCTACAGTTGGTTCTCCCAAGCACCTCTTCCTCTGGTGAAAATCAGATGGGGGGGGCAATTTGGATCAGAGCCTTGGTGCTGGGAAAGGAACTGTTAACTCTTATCTCCTGTGCTGTTCCCCATGTTTATACAGTGGTACCTTGGGTTACAGATGCTTCAGGTTACAGATGCTTCAGGTTACAGACTCCGCTAACCCAGAAATAGTACCTTGGGTTAAGAACTTTACTTCAGGAAAAGAACAGAAATTGCATGGTGGCAGTGGGAGGCCCCATTAGCTAAAGCAGTACCTCAGATTAAGAACAGTTTCAGGTTAAGAACAGACCTCCAGAATGAATTACGTTCTTAACCCAAGGTACCATTGTATTGCCCCTACAAAAGCTATAGAGAGGATAAGAGGTTGAATATGGATCGTTGCTTTTGTTCCCCACCCTTCAGATAACATCAGCTTGAGCAAAAGATTTGGATTTGGGGTGTGGGGATTGGGTTAACCCCCATTCGCCATTGCTGTGCCCCTGCCAAGTTACTTTTAAGCTAAGAAAAATATGCCTAGAGATCTGGTCACTGATCTCTCAAGCCATGTCCAGTTTGACCCAGAGTTTTGCTCCCAAAATGTCCATCCCTGTCCAGCTGGTTGCTATGATCTACTAGAAGAACATGCTATTTCTTTTCTGGAATGGTGCCAGAGCTGATTATCGCTGCTCTGACATCTCAGGACGCTAGACCACCAAATAAGGCAAATTTCACGTTAGGAATTGTTAGGAAAGGGAACGAGAAAAAGAAATGGCACAAGTAGCTCGTCACAAAGCAAAAGATTCGAGAAACATGGCCACTGGGCCCATCACCTCCTGGCAAATAGAAGGTGAAGAAATGAAGGCAGTGAGAGATTTTACCTTCTTGTAAATGGACTACAAGAAGATCAAACCTCTCCATTCTGAAGGAAATCAGTCCTGAGTGCTCACTGGAAGGACAGATCCTGAAGCTGAGGCTCCAATACTTTGGCCACCTCAGGAGAAGAGAAGACTCCCTGGAAAAGACCCTGATGTTGGGAAAGATGGAGGGCACAAGGAGAAGGGGACGGCAGAGGACGAGATGGTTGGACAGTGTTCTCGAAGCTACCAGCATGAGTTTGACCAAACTGCAGGAGGCAGTGGAAGACAGGAGTGCCTGGCGTGCTCGGGTCCAGGGGGTCACGAAGAGTCGGACACGACTAAACGACTAAACAACAACAACAACAATTGCTTTATGATCCATCGTAGAATTGTAAAAGGGACCACAAGGGTCATCAAGTCTAACCTCCTGCAATGGAGGAATCTTTTGCCGAACATGGAGCTCAAACCTACGTCCCTGAGATTATGAGTCTCATGCTCTACCATATGAGCTATACCAGCTGGGATACATTGCATGACTGGGGAAATTCACACTGAATGTGGCCCTCCAAGCCTCTCTATCTAGGCCACAGAGTTCGCTCCAAGCCACACACCTTACTTGAAACCCAATCCCTTGATCAATCCAAAAGGATTGCCTTTTTCGTTTGGAAAAGGTATAATCTCCACACACACACACACACCCGCAGTCTGAAGGGGTACATGCCAGCACTTTGCAGGTCATGTGAGAAATAGCTGGGCTATTTATAGGGCGAGACTGTGAGCACACAGAAATGCTATCTGTCCCTGCATCGCAAACACTAAAAAGTCTGTGCTCTGTTGTATTCCGTGTCTGCATTCACTCTGAGCTGGGAAAACGATGGAGAATTAATCTGGCTGTCGGGTTTGGCCCCGGTTTAACTGCTTTGGAATAATGATAAGGGGCCATTTCAAAACCAGCGGAACAGCTGCAAAATAAGTGTGTGAAAAGAAAGTGAAGTATGACTCCTCGTTGCTGGATAGCCATTAATGCTATCCATTAACCACCTTTGAGATGCTTTTGGAAACACAAATATCAGCACAAATATTCCAAGGAACAGCAAGCTAGGGCAGATCGTATCAAAACATACTGCTCAATGTGAATGTGAGCCTTTGGAGTCAAGATGAGGTTATCTAGCGGTGGCAAAGAACAGGTGCAATAAATAAAATATTTACGGTGGTACCTCGGGTTAAGTACTTAATTCGTTCCGGAGGTCCGTTCTTAACCTGAAACTGTTCTTAACCTGAAGCACCACTTTAGCTAATGGGACCTCCTGCTGCCGCCGCACCGCTGGAGCACGATTTCTGTTCTCAACCTGAAGCAAAGTTCTTAACCTGAAGCACTATTTCTGGGTTAGCAGAGTCTGTAACCTGAAGCGTATGTAACCTGAAGCGTATGTAACCCGAGGTACCACTGTATTTATTTTTGCTTCTGAAAATCGAAGCACACCGAGACTTTGTAAGCCCAAAAATTTTCATGTGGAAAAACATTCACTTGGCTGAATGGGTTTGCATCTAACCTCTTTTCGTTTGGGTCAGTAGTCCCTCCACACACAAACACACACACACGTCACATAATTCCTGCACACCTGTCTGTAAACACACTCAGCCCTGTCTCTGCCTCTTGCAAATTCTGTTGCTGTTCCACCTGAGCTTCAATTGCGGTATAGATACTACGGCTGAGATATGAAGCTTGAATTATGTTAGGGCTGACATATGGACATATCCAGAATACATCCGTCAGAAACAGTGTCCGGGTGGAATTTCTGGAAATCGTTTAAAACATCCGTGAAAACCCAGGCATATGACAATCCATGTTGGAATTGTTGATTTTTTTGGTGTATTTCCTTTAAAAAAGAAAAAAAGCTCAACAGCTTTGTCCCCCAAATTTCCACTCTTTGAAATATAAGGTAAAGGGACCCCTGACCATTAGGTCCAGTCGTGGCCGACTCTGGGGTTGTGGCGCTCATCTCGCTTTATTGGCCGAGGGAGCCAGCGTACAGCTTCCGGGTCATGTGGCCAGCATGACGAAGCCGCTTCTGGCAAACCAGAGCAGTGCATGGAAACACCATTTACCTTCCCGCCAGAGTGGTACCTATTTATCTACTTGCACTTTGTGCTTTCGAACTGCTAGGTGGGCAGGAGCAGGGACCGAGCAACAGGAGCTCACCCCGTTGCGGGGATTCGAACCGCCGACCTTCTGATCGGCAAGTCCTAGGCTCTGTGGTTTAACCCACAGCACCACCCGTGTCCCGTTTGAAATATGGCAACCCTAAATTATGCCATTGCCGTACCACCAGAGGTGGGAAAGCACTGGGCACCAGCCAGAAAAAGCCCTCTTCCTGATGGTTACCACTGGAAAACACTGTATTCCGAAGGAATGCAAAAGTTCCACCTGCGACATTAAATAGGATAGCCTGTTCACACATGCAAGTCATCATCACTCCAGTCGGCGAGCGTGTAATGTGTGAATCAGCCTCTGGCTCTTTTGAAGCCCCGTGAATGGAGCACACGGAATGAATTAAATCCAGAAGTTTAATGGGCTCCTCTTTCCTTGCTGGCTTTCCACCTTTCGCTATCTATTGTCGCATATTCTGAACTACTTGAAATTAACTGTGATAAGATCCCTCGTTGGAATTTACTAACTACGGGGCGTTGACAGATAAATCTAAGTGTCCTGCCCCGTTAATTAACTCGAGATTTATTCATTTATCAAGACTCCCGAAACAAGCGTGTTTAATTGCCCTCTTTATTAATGTTTCTAAGAAAGCTCTAGCATTTTACTGGCATTTAAATGAGGGCTCCAACAAGATGTGGTATCAATTAATGGTCTTGTTAAAAGTCAGACAGCGTTTTTACAATGCCAGCCTGACTCCCTCGCACCCCCACCAACCCACTTCGAACAATCATGGAAACTCGTTTCGCAGACCAGAAGGGGTTAGAAAGCACATCTCTTCTGTTCGTGATGTTATGCCAATACTTCAAACAACAAACTCCCACCACAATCCTCCTTCCAAAAGCCAAGCTGCATGGGAAGTGCAGTCATGTCTCCTGTCCTTCTGATGACTTTTCTTTTTTTTAATGCAGCCATGGAGACTGCAATCTTCCTCCCCTTTGCAGCTTCTGCACTTAAAAAAACACTCCCTCCCCCCTGCTTTTCAGAGAGGAAAGGGTTAAGGCGAGAAGCCCACATGCAGCTGCCTTTTGCTGGGCGTCTCACATCCGGTCTAACGATTGCTACTTTTCTATTGTCCTAGACAGTGCTTTTCTTCTAGGGGAAAAAAGGTGCTAGTACCACGAATCAGGATGAAGGATTGATAGGGTTGTGTGTGTAGAAACTCGCCTTCTGTACAAAGGTGAAATGTGCGTGCATTGCTCTGCCTCTGGCCCTGGCCACCACTGCCACCCGGCCCTTGGAAGCTTGCCCAGGAGGGAATGTGGCTCTCAGAGCACAAATGGTTCACCAGCCCTGGCCTAGACGGACGCTTGGCCTGATCCTGCCAGGCTTCTCCTTATGTAGTCCAAAGTTGCTCACCCAACTCATGTATCTGAATAGAATAGAATAGAATAGAATAGAATAGAATTTATTATTTATACTTCGCCCATCTGGCTGGGTTTCCCCAGCCACTCTGGGAGGCTTCCAACAAAGTATTAAAATACAGTGGTCTTCCCTAAAGAGGGCTGCCTTCAGATGTCTTCTAAAAGTCTGGTACTTGTTCTTCTCTTTGACATCTGGTGGGAGGGCGTTCCGCAGGGCGGGTGCCACTACCGAGAAAGCCCTCTGCCTGGTTCCCTGTAACTTGGCTTCTTGCAATGAGGGAACCGCCAGAAGGTGCTCAGCGCTGGACCTCAGCGTCCAGGCAGAACGATGGGGGTGGAGACACTCCTTCAGGTTTACTGGACCAAGGCCATTTAGGCCTTTAAAGGTCAGCACCAACACTTTGAATTGTGCTCGGACATGTACTGGGAGCCAATGTAGGTCTTTCAAGACCGGTGTTATATGGTCTCAGCGGCCGCTCCCAGTCACCAGTCTAGCTGCCACATTCTGGATTATAGGAAAGAAGCAAGACTCTCAAGTCTTGTGAGGGGCTGCTGAAGCAACCAGGCATCTGCTCTGTGCCACCAGCTTCTGTCATGTTGGATCAGCTCAAGCAGACTCTCCTGCCTTCTCTCCCTCCCTCCTCCCTGGTCCTCCATTTCCCTGTCTCCACAGATCCTCTCCCTGCTCTAATCAGGCTTTTACAGCCTCGCTCGCAGCACAGCCTCTCTCGCCAGGAGTCAGGCTGTCCTGACTTTCGGCTGAGATCTCAGACTCCCACCAAACAGCCTCTATTTCTCCGGGCATGTGGTCAGCGTGAACTCGGCGCGCTCTCCTCCCGGAGCCAAGGAAGCAGAGGAGACCGAAAAAAGCCATCATTATGTGTGTTCCTTAAGAAACCGCCTAGAAAATTAGAAGGCACGGCAGAAGAGCTCAAAGCAACCTCTCTCTCCTTCTCTCTGAACCTGTTCACTTGAGATTATCATGGACAAATTAGGGAGGCTATGAATGAGAGAGGCCTTAGGCTAAGCTGCCCTGTAAGGGGGTGTGTGTGTGTGTGTGTGTGTGTGTGTGTGTGTGTGTGTATGTGTGTGTGTTGTGCTGGGTAGAAATCAGGGCCCCAGGGCCACACCAGAGCCCACTGCCAATTCCTGCCCACGCCTCCCCTTCAATTTGTGGGTCCTTTTCTCAGGTAGCGCTTGTCAACCTGGGAAGGGAGCCCATCTAGGAGAAGGAAGACTCTGATCCTAAACCTCAGCAGTCTTATGGCTATACTCATACATGCTTTAGCCGAGATTCCAACATTGCAGGGACGAGATGACCCTGGCGGTCCCTTCTGGTTCTACAGTTCTATGATTCTATGAGAACGGCTTCAAGAGTAAACCCCAAGGAAAACTCCATACCCGCTGCCTTGGAGGATATCTCTGGGAAGAGAAAGGGCTAAGGAGTAAACCCTAAACAAATCCGGAAGAAGAAGAGGAAGAAGAGTTTGGCTTTGATATCCCGCTTTATCACTACTCTAAGGAGTCTCAAAGCGGCTAACAATCTCCTTTCCCCTCCTCCCCCACAACAAACACTCTGTGAGGTGAGTGGGGCTGAGAGACTTCAGAGAAGTGTGACTAGCCCAAGGTCACCCAGCAGCTGCATGTAGAGGAGCGGGGAAGCAAACCCGGGTCACCAGATTACGAGTCTACCGCTCTTAACCACTACACCACACTGGCTCTCTTAGGAGTCCCTAAGACAGTTGGGTGGTGTCTTGTACAGACAGAAGGCCTTCTCAGTAGTGGCACCTGCCCTGTGGAGCGCCCTCCCACCAGATGTCAAAGAGAAGAACAACTACCAGACTTTTAGAAGGCATCTGAAGGCAGCCCTGTTTAGGGAAGCTTTTAATGTTTAACAGACCACTGTATTTTAATACTCTGTTGGAAGCTGCCCAGAGTGGCTGGGG